GGTGCTCCTGGTGATACACCATAAATTAACCTTAAGATTGAACCCAATGTGAACTTGGATGACAAAAAAGTTTGGAATAGGAAGGGCTGTTATCCTGTTATCCTTATTGCAGAGGCATCACTGGCACAAGACTTTGACATACAGTCAAAGAAATCCAGGCTGTACACCTTGTAGGCTGCTAGCTCAGAAAGGTCTGCTTGTGAGAGACCTACACCAATTCTAGAGAAGGCGACTACTCTATATGAACCTGAGCATTCCTTTAAATCCTTCTGGTCTGACGTCTAACACCTGTTTCTAGAATCTAGCATCTCACACTGTGCCCTAAGACAACTACTTACACAGCGAGACTAAGAATTCAGCGAAAAGTCCTTTTGAATGATTGCTACCCAGCTTGCACTATAGTGGGTAGTATGCTGTATATATCAGAAAGTAGAAGGAATGCTAACAAGTGGAAATGAAGCTAAAAAGAATCTTATACAGAAGGCCCCCTGCAATTGAATAGTTGTCCAAAGTTGTAAAACCTGTCATATTTCTAAGAAAATACTGCTGCCTGTTTCTTCAGTGGGGTTTTCTGGTGTAGTCTGGGTAAAGTATCTTGGCTCACAGGTACAACAGCAGAGTGCCTACTTTGAAGACACAACCCTTTCGTGTCAGGATACCAGAGCCCTGAGCTCTTCAAAACATCTATATTCAAGGCTGGAGGTGGACAGGCATCAGATTACAAACAGTTAAAGGCCAAAATGGCCATGTCACCTTGATCCTGGCTCTGCCTCCTGCACTGGGAGAACAACAGCTTAAATCTGGTCTCTGGGTAACAGGCAGCCATTCAGGCCATCTGTCCCTGCTGTCAGGGCCACACAGTACAAAATCCGAGAACAGCAATGCAAGCTTTCAGGGTTTCAATGGCTCGGTTCAATTCCACAGAAAAGGGCTTTGCAGTCATACCTGGAACATGTTAAACTGCACCACTGGTTTGCTCCTGTTCTTGCTGAAGGTCACATAGCTGAAGCGGTGTTTAACTGAACTTTACTTCTGAAAACAACCAGACCCTGTAAAATTTTCTCCCCCTCCAAGTGCATAAAACTCCATTATTCTGAATTTAAGAGCCGGACTTGATGCTTGGAGCACTATGGGTTATATGTTCTACAGTGAAAAATAAAATCATCAGAGTGGCAACAAAAACCAGCTTGGCATTTGTCATCTCCACCTCATGCTGTTGAAAGATGCATCATAACATGAAACACCTTGGCTGTGCAATATCCTGAACACTGAAAAGTCTTGTGAAATATGCTAAGAGGCCATGGATTTCTCAAGTGAGAGTCTACCCTGGATTATTCTTTTTCCCCCAGATTACTAGACATGTCCAATCTCATTCTTCCCATTTGGTATTTTAATGGCTAGTGGCCAAGGTTCATTCAACCTTGTATTTTAAGTTGTTTCCATTATTACCTCCATAATTCTAGAGCATCTGGAGCTCCTCAACAGAATATCTGCAAAGATGGCGTGTTTTGAAAAGAAGTAACGGAGTACCGTTATCTCGGGTGGCCAGGCTAGTGTCACTGCCCAGAAAAGGGCACTGGTGTTTCCTGAACTGAAGAATGTTATCTTTAGCCCTGCATCCAACATCATTTAGAAAGTCACGTGGTATGCAGACAAGATCACAGACAAGCAAAAGAAGGAGAAACAGAATCGCTATTTAGAAAATTCAATCCAAATCTAAACTTTATCCCCTAGGGGGAACACTTTAATTTAGCTACAGAGTCTCCTCTCGGATTACTGGAGGACTTTACAAATATTGTGTATTTTCATATTTACCTGTAGTAACGTTCTGAAGGCACAGTTCACTGTTGTTTCCCTACCTATAATGAGGACTGTACTTTGTTACCCTATCCAGGGGCAGTGGCCAGTCTTTACCTCCGGACAAAAAAAGCAAAACTGTACTCAAGTGTAATAAGAGTTAGGAAAAGGCCAATAAGATATGATGACAACCAAGAAAACTAGGACTGTACATAATGAAGACTGTGGCAGAGATGAAAGGATACAGCCTTCAAAACAATAGAATTAATCAACCAGCACTGCTCTCTAGGGCCTATTCACAGCTCGCATCCACATTCAACCCCATCCACTGAAAACAAAAACAGATCTGCAGTCAATTACTATCTGGCACCACAGGATGCTTTTATTGTTTGCTTATTTTTTCACTTGTATTTTTCAAGGCTGAGCATGCTGATCTCTAGGGGCCACGCATGCCCACCCCATGTGGCGACAGACGTCAAGCCGGGTGCCGCGTTGCGCGACTCGGTGCCAAGGTCCGCCACCTGTTCCCCAACAACCCCCTCTCTCTTTCTCTCGTACAGTGCCAGACGAAACTCTCTCTCCTCGCAGCCTCACCTGACACTCCGCCCCCCCCCAGCTGAAGGGGAATAATAGTCTGGCTAAACTGATAAAGGGGTTAAAGCAACAAACCACCGCCAGAGCATTCCTGTCACATTAAATCAGTTAACCGCAGGATCAGGCTTGGCTACCTGTGACAGTCAGTCTCACGCTAAGCTGTGGACTGCAGAAGTGGGGTTTCTTTCATAACCAGTTGTGAAAGCAGAAGAGCGTTGCAGAAGAAACCTGATATAAGTTACAATGAGTCACTCCTCAAGTGGATATGACTAACTTTGATTATTGCTTAGGTCTTTTTAGTGGAAAACATTAAAGCAACGCAGGTAGTAGGTTTCAATATATATAAAACACGCATATAACTCCACTGTTACCACCCTGCAGTCAAGGCGGGCCTGGATGGAACTGGGATGGGAGACCTGAGGAACTCCAGGTCACTGTTGTAAGTGGTGCTGGTAGACCAGGCAGTCTTCCCTCTGGACAGGGGTGTGGACATTGTATACTTATTTTTCATGTGTAATACAGGAAGCCTTCCCTTTGAAGAGATAATTGTGTTTTTTCTTTTCAGAAAAAAGAAATACTGCAGCTTCACTTAATAATATCTTTGCTTCTGCCCCACCGGCATTTCTTAAGGAAAGTTTCTCCTTATTTGTTTGATTAAACAAACCTTTGCCACACCATAACTGATAACTCTTTCCTGTTTACAACCTGACATGTTACTTGTCCTGCTTTTAAACCTATCTGAATGAACAGACAGGATACAATTGGAGCACTTTTTGGCTGGGAGAAGTGGAATAAAAGATATAGTTAAAATACACGTAAGGAGATGTCACATTAAAAGCCTAGATTTGTGTTGCTGGATTCATCCTGTAGGAAAACCCAAGTTTAAAGGCATATTCAGCCACAAATCGTCCCTAGCCAAAAGCCCTCAGCGTTAGAGAAGTACTAATTGTGGTGAGGACATACCCAAACTTTAAACATGGCTCCACTTATATATAATTTGACCCATTTCAGGTTCTCCGACTTCCGGGTTTGGTCTTGCACAATTTGTGCTGATGATTATTATTCACAGGCCAAAATATTGGGAGCAAAACAGTCTGAGGATGATCCAGACAATAACCAATAAAGACTGAAAGGAGACCAGAAAAATCATTCTTCTGAACTTGTCCATTGTGTCCCTCTGGCAGCCTTGACACTTTCATTTCCTTCTCATTATAACCCTTCACCAGAGGGCGCCACGGCTAACTACTGCACAACTTTCACAAGAAAAACACTTTTCTAGTGTATTTGTAGCACTTTTGTATATTTGATTCACAATACACAACCCTTGCTGTTCACCATGCAGTACTTTCATGGGAATGGATTTCATACATTCTTCGCTCTTCAAATGGCAGTCATTTGAGAAAAAAAAGCTACATGCATGTTTAGGCTGGGAAAACTGGTCACAGACAAACACAAGACGGGCATATTTTTAGCTTTTTCAAGAGGGAGGGAAAAGGCTATCCTAAATAAAGAACATGGATGCACCAGCCAAACCATTTAATGTTTTGGGGGGGAAAATGCTTTCTTCTGAAGATTGGTCCACTGGAATACAGACCTTCCACATTCCCCATCCACGATCATGAAAGCAGTGCATTGGAGTTGGCTCAGGCATGCCTCCTATCATAAGCTACCCTTCTTGAGCGCAGACAGGCTTTGAAAGAATCCAGGGAGTTATGAAATCTCAAGAGCCAAAGCCGGTGAAAACTGCTATACGTCAGACATATGTTTGCATAAACTTCAAGCCTCTGTGTTGATCTAGTTCAAAACATAGCTTTGCTGTAGAAAACTGGATTCAGGCTCTTCTTCAAACTGAGGATTTGTTTTCCCGCCCCTAATAACCATAAAGATCAATTAAAGAGCAAAACTAAGTTTTAAACCTAACAAAGCAACTATTAAAATAATCTCTTTAGCTAAAAAGGTGCAAAAACGTCTTTTTCGATGCTTGTTTATCTAGGATTTTGGCTACTACAGTCTTCCCAAGACCATTCATTTTTCAACAAACATAAGCTCAATTTTTCTTCAAATGTATTAAAAGATTTGAAGAAGTCACGTCTTGCTAATTTATTAATTTTAAATATGAAACATCTCAGGAACCACTGATAAATCACTAAAGCTAGGCGTTTGTATACACAACAATTTACAAATTAGTACCAATTATGAATTGCATATTCCACAAAAGCATATTATGTACATTTAAAAGGCTATTTTATGAGCAATTTGCTTTTACATGGAGACATACAGATCGATGAAGCAGGCTCAGGAATGCAGAGACTTTTTCCCGAAGCACGGTGGAATTGAAACTAATCCTATCAATGCTTACACATTAAAGCTGATCTGCAGATGCATAAATCCACTGAGTGCTGTCAGACTGTAGTCAAACTGTACTCACTGTGTGTGCTGATGTCAAAGCTTAGGGTCGAAGGTCATGCCAAACTCGCCAAGTATACAACCCCTCTGAGGCACATGCAGAAACGTGGAGTGATTCACATCCATTTAAAACAAAGCGATGTTCTGCACAAACCCTGTAATCCACCCCCCACCTCCCAACCGGCCAAGGGGCCGGAACTCACCTCTTTCGGACCGGGCCGTCTTCCGAGTAGTCGCTGCTGCCATCAGTACTTTGGGATGACCCCCGAGACCCGTCTTCCTTATCGCTCCCCGTCAATGGGCTTCCTTTGGGTCCTGATCCGTTCAGCTGGCCATTCGCTAGCGAACCTGGAAGCCCAGAAGTGAGACCTTATTTCAGGCAGTGGAAACAAACATCTGGTCGGCGACGCCTCCAGGAAAGAAGGACCTTTTCTAGGCCCTAAGTTAGCCCAAAGCACAAACTCGCTGTCACGTTTAAAAAGCATTTGGCGGAGGAGCTCATATTCGTGTTAATAGAAAAAAACAAACAAACATACATCACTGAGGTCTCTGTTAAATGTTCATTTTTTTTTACTCAGATCTCATCTTGGAAAAGGTCCAGCTTGAAATCTACTGAGCTGTAAAACCTGCATCCCAATTAGCAGAATGATAGCTTTTTGCACCAATTTCAGACCTGATTAAGATCGATAAAAGATACACACATACACCCTGTTGCCCATGTGCTGCTAGGGTGACAATTATAAAAGGCAGACAAATCTAAGAGCCACAAGTCACAAAACAAATGCAACCCTAGGGTTGTGTGACAAGCAGTGTCCACGCACCTCAAGACTGACATGAACACAAGGCACACACGCATTAGACATGAAATTCTAGTTTAGGTACTTTTGTGTCCCACCCTCTTAATTAATTTCAAACCTGATTCAATTTAAGAGGACAGAACACAAAAGCATCTCCAAGGCATTTAAAAACAAGCCCGTGGCAGGATACCAGGGCAGGCCCCGACTTGATAACTGGTTGGCTATAGACCACATGACCATGAGTCACTATCAGGTACACCCCTGCTACCTCCCCAGGGGTCTTTGATCGTCAGCCCCCATGAAGCACTGAATACTGCTCATGTAGCCAAGTGTGCAAGTTCCACACAGATCACGATTGCTTCACCTTTTCCATGTACGTAAAACTTCCAAAAACACTTTCAACAGCAGGTAAGACGTACATATGACGACAGTAAAATGATAAAGGGTCGATGAAGGAGAAAATATTCAATTGAAAAGAATGAATTCTCCCCCACCTAAAACAAAAACCAACAAGTCGGCAACAACTGCTTCAAACAAGCAGCACAAATGTTTAAGCAGGTCCCAAAATAAAGCTATGGCTAGATTAAACAAAGCAGCTAAAACTAAACTAAAAAACATTTAGATCTTGTTTCTGTGCCAGTCGTTTTCATGGTGATGTAACCACCACATGTAATGTCATTTCTTAGTCATTCCCACTGTGTAAAACGGAGTAAAGAGGGATTTTCTTTTTGCTTACATTCTTCACCATTGTTTTACACAAATTGGTTTCACATGAGCAGCTCGGAGAGAAACGCAGCCAAACGTTTCCCAAGCTCCACTGAGGACCGATCCATGAATTATTATGGTGGTTTCTCCACTGCGTGTCCTTCAGGCCCCTAATCAGATTAATGCGTGTTTAACTAAGCCGGTCGCCTCAGTCTTGTTTCCTTCCTGTTCTCGAGAGGGCTACCGGCTATGTGCAGAACACCAAATGCTGTCCATTAGTGAATCCTGGGTAATGACCATGGCTGTCATGATTGAATAATACAAAACGGGAAAATTAACTAAAAAAAAAGTTATTATATAGGGTTTAATTAACTCCACGGCCATTTTCAACATAATCGCTGCTGAGTAATAACACTCCTAAAGGGGTCGTCAGGCAGAGTGTTACAGAATTACGAAATACGTCTGTCGTACATGTTTTTATTTTGTTCTTTGGAGACAGTTCTTCTTTTGCTCTGGATATGCACTCTGCTCACTTCTCCGTAGCATCTGCTGGTACCAGCCTCAGATCACAGCACAAAACACTGTTTAGTGCATATCTGCGACATGCCTACTACAGCCACAGGCATAAAAGTACTAGCCACCCAGATCAACAAAGAGCTTTTATCCAAATCTTCAACTGGTATCCGAGTATAATTCATTTTGGCAGGCTCCAAAAAAAATCACGAGTCTCACATCTGCACAAATAGGGTTCAATTTAAAAGAGGGTCTTGGCACGAGAGAGGGCACTCCAGTATGACTCCTCAAAGACGAGCGAAGTGAAAATCATCGCACTAGGGTCTGCACATAAAAGGACCTAATTCGGCTGGATGATATGCAATCCAGACTCGCTTCTCATTTCCTACAATTACCAGAGTACATATAGCATGCAACAGCTTCATTTGAATCTCCATCGTTAAACAAAATCAACCCATTTCTCTTGGAAAGGATGCAGAAATGGGTTATCAGCTGAGGTGAAGGAGGAGATCCAAATGTGATGGCCAGGGCAGAGGTATTGATTGATTGATGGCCACCTGCCTGCATGGCACTATACTGATCAAGTCCTTGGACCTCTCTTGTTCTCTTCCCTGCGACATGACAACATTCCACCAACACTGTGTGCATCCTCATGTTGTGCAACAACTTACTTGAGAGAGTAGGTATGCTGTGGATGACTTGAGAGCTATTCAACGCTTGACTGAGACATCTAGGTCTTGCAGACCAGTGAACAGACATATACTAGTCCTGACTCTAGAGAAGAAGGGGACAGAATGCAAAGAGGCAGCACCTGCAACCGGGTGATGTACTTGTGTTGCTTTCAGTAGCGGCCGCAAGTTACTGGCCTGCAGCTTTTGTCAACCCCTTGCTGATCACTTTGTGACCAGACCAATGCTAAACCAACGTAATGAACTTGTCTAGATCATGTGTGTTTAATGAATGTCAGTGGACCTGCTACAATAAAATTTCCATGATATCTAAATAAGCTGGTATTATATTTAATTCTCAGAATAGCTTCTTTACATACTTTTGCCGAAACATCCCCTTACAGAGGTCAGTCGCTTAAAAAAGGGCACAAAAACATTTTTATCCTAAATCCCACCGATCTTTACAAAAAAGCCAAGTTAAACTAAATTCAAGTTAAATGGTTGTTTAAATTATCCCCTATACCATTTCTAATTTGTGTTCTAAAAAAATGACTGATGTCAAATAAAGGGGGAAAAAAGTTGGACTGAAACGGACTAAAAAGTCTTTAAAAGCAACCTCTTCAACACTTTAGAGCCTAGGGCATAGACAAGTACAAATGGATAGATCTGTGTTTTATATTCTGCACTGCTAGCCTCATATAGAGGTCATCACAAATGGGGAAATACTAGAATGTTTAGGATTCAATCAGGATACAGCAGGGAAGTCCCAGAAAAGACAGCTAGAAAAACTGCGTAGATTTAAATGTTTGAAATATTCTGACGTGTAAGCAATGGAGAAGAAAAATTGGGGCATGTGAGCGTTTCAGAATGAAATCCCAATCTGATTTTCCCAAATGAACTAGATATGAAAGCCCTATAATTTATCGAGTGAAACACTGTTTATTAAACTAAGCATATTTGACAATGATGTCTCTTCTAAGCTTAATGAATGCTTATTAACTTAAACAATATATTACATACAAGCCAGTGAGCCTCATTGTCAGAGGATGTTAGAATTTGTCTTCGACAGCATGGTGAAAGCAGTACTGAGCTGAATTTTCAGTTGCAGGCGAAAATCTACAGTGCGATCTGAAATACCATTTCTGTGAAAATGCTGCTATTATTAAATTCACTGATCCTCCTTGGAAGGATCAGTGAATGTGGACTCTGCTGAACAGCAGGGTGACAAACTCCATTTTCAGGATAGGGAAATCAACCTTTACCCTACAGAAAAGGGCACTGCATTTTTCAGAATGGTAACTTGCTATCAATCATGGGGATAACCTGATCTGACTGGGAAGAAAGAATGATGTCATCGCTGCCACATGTGCACTACAAGCAATGGTCACAACATGGCTGGGCACAAGCAAAAAAAAAAAAGCAAAGTAAAGAAAGTAAATATGAAGGTCTCCTGTTGCAAGCTGCACATGCTATTGTTGTGGGTTTAGTGAAAACACAGGAAACGGTACACCAGACATTTCAGATTTTTTACAACTCGGAAACAAAATATTCTAATAACGGACTCCACGTGTTTAGAAACCATTAAATGAGTGTGCAAGGATATGGTAGCATTTGCAGATGTTCTGTTGACAAAACCACAAATCTCAGTGAGGTAGAAGACTTAACTCCACACAGTATATAATCCCAATACCTACTGTACATCACTTTAACTTGCTCTACCTTGTTAAAGACAAATATAGGAGGCTGGGACCTGAAATCAATACAACAATATTTTATTGCGGATTTTACTTTTACACTTACAATACTATTTGACAATCTTTTCCTTCTAACGGCTCCCATAATCTTAAATCCTTGAAATCAACTGCCAAGGACATCCTTTGTTCTGTACTTAATCTTGCTCGGTATAGAGTCTGATAGCATTTGTCTATCAAGTGTTAACCTCTTGTGACATTATCAAGCTGAAATTCCTTTTCTTTTTGCTCAAGACTAATAAAAAAAAAAGTCCTCCTACCATAAACACTGGTAAAGGCCATCCGTTTGAAAGCATACTTTACATTCTCAGGAACCGAACATTTTATCTTTGTGTGGTCTCTTGGCTGCAGTGCAACGGTAGGAGGCTGGGTCTCTGCCATTAGGCCACGCTGCAGGCCTGTGGCCCACTGAGAATTTACTGTACTGCATTTCCAACAAGCAGGCCTCCATTAAGTAAATGCTGACCCTCTTAATATCTGCTCTGCCTGTTGGAGGGTTTTATTTATCAGGCCTTGGGAAATTACAAACCCACTGCTTGACAGCAGACTTCCTCAGGGCACAAGTACAAGTCAAATAAATCCCTCCAGCAGCGAGTTCACATGTTGCGTTTGGTGACGGAGGTCAGTTTTGCTTTGACCTGCAACAGTGCCCCTGTGCCAGTCTCTCCAGGTGCAGATGCTGGCCCTGCAACAGCCAAGGCACCCGGCTGGCGATCAGAAGCAGATGACGCGTTGTCTCTACAGGCAAGGGAAAGAGGCTCTTTCCTGCTGGGAGAGTAATGCAATTTGAAGAACATGCAGTGTGAGTGCAAGCAGAACAAGCGAATCCTAGCTGGGTAAAGTAAGAGCACAATCAATATGAAATTAAACCTTCCGTGTGGGAAGAGAGGGGCTCCTGCTTTGCGAAACAGCTTGGCTGAGGACGGATTCAAAGCGCATATTGTCATTTGGTTAATAATGTGCTTAGTGGCTTGTGAACTTATGAAGATGGAAAAGCAGTGGGATCTGGGAGAGCTGCAATTGACAATTTGATGGGAACAAGGAGGTGGTGGGGGTGTACTCAAGGAAAGGAGGGGTTTTCTATTCTTTTGGATTCTGTGTATTTTGTGGCAGTCCAGCAAGAAAGCAAACAGCTCTGCAGCGCATCAGCACGTAAAGCTTTAAGGGACAGAAGCCTCAAAGCGGGCCCTGGCGTCTTTACCATGAGAAGAATGTTTCCCGTTTCTCCACGTTTCTCTATTAGTAAGGGACAACCGGAATCAATGAAAATCAGGAGAGTGCTTTCAGAATAAGTGCACAACATGTGCATGCAGACTACATCAATGCAGCCTTTGCAGCAATCTGCCTGTATCAATTACATGCATGCAACATCACAGTCAAACTAACGGCAACCCCAACAATATTAATAGAATTTGCTCAACGCTCAATAGGAGCAAGTCAGGGAATGGGTCTTCATCCAATTTGCAATTATTCTCCTAAAACGAAGTTACCATATTGATGCAAGATCCATTACTGTGACCCCTCAAATGGTAGAGTGTGAATTTCAGTCTGACTCCAGGACAACAAAATCTGACTTCTTGGCATCACCAAAGATAAAACTGCTGCCCTTCAGATACTGCGTGTATCTGGCGTACTTTATGTTTTAGACAGTACTTTATAGTGTCCCGTTTTTATAGGGGTTTTAAAAGGCAAAACCCAGTAACCAAAGTACTAGTTTAAAACTAGTTTAAAAATTTGACTGATGGCAAATCTAGGCAACTGGGCCAAAAAGCAAATAGCTCAGCTGACAACCTGCAATTAAGCAGGAGATTTGATCTGGTCCAAACCAATGTTAAAAGGCAAAAGATGAATGACGGGAAACTCACTGCACACTTCCTGAAAAGTACCTTATTCACTATCTGTTATCATCACTAGTCAACCCCCAGCTGTACCAAGCAAAAAAAATGGTAAAAGTGTAGGAAGAAGATAAGAACAATAACTCTCCTCTCAACTTCTCCCTTAATCCCCAATCTCTTTTAACTTTCTTAAAGCCTACAGTCAGGAACTTCTCATGTGCTCTCATCCCTTGTTCTGACAGAAAATAACTTGATCTGAGGCTGTCTGGGGTTCGCTATCTTTGTCGACTGTGCATTGAGTTGTAGTGTCAAACAGTGCCAATTTATTCTTCCTGAGTTCTCTCCACAGGCAAACACTGAACCACGCTTTCACGTCCTCACTTTCACGCTGCCTGTTTTGGATCTCCTCAAGGCACCCACTCAAATACGTATAGAATATTCCTGTTTACGGCAGTGGTCGCTATTAAGATGCACAGTGGTACTGCGGTATGTAACTGAATGTGAATGCAAAGCAGGGTTTTAACATCTTACGTTTACATAAAGGATTCTGGACTTGCCCAATGTTCATAAAACTTTTACCTGCCAAACCCCAAATGCATATATTAGGAATCTTACTGTTTTTTACTTGATTATTAATTTTCAACAAAATCCACTTATAATCATTAAAGAGCAATAAGATTAAAAAAAACACAAAGAACAGCATGAAAGGAAATAGTATACAATCATATCTGCTTTTAAAGTACTTCTCATGGCAAAATACTACTTATGTGCCATTTTATCTAAATAAGGTCCATCGTACCTTCATGACTTCCATGTTAAAGTTTTTTTAATGCATCATTGTAAAGGAACACCAACCTCCCACATCTTCACATTCCCTGTTGCAGAAACCAGAATTCACAACTATAAATGATAATGAATAGGCCTCCAAAATAAATTACTCGGAGACAAAATGAACCAAGAAGCACCAGGTGTTATCCTGTCATCCTTCAAGTAGTCTGAGAGAAAGTGGAAGGGCTGTGGAGTTTCCCCGTTCCCGTCTTGGAACTGTTCCCTTCAGCCAACAATAGAAGGAATTTGGTTTGAACTTCTTCCTGCTATATGTACACAAAGTCAGCTGTCAAAGGCCTAGATAACATTCAGGGAAGATTTAGAGAATATCAGTTCCAATACTTCCTGTTTCCAAAGCAAAACCCACAACAACAGTGCTGGAACAAATATTGATTCTACAACTACAGTAAATATTCACCACACCTTGAAAACGCAAAAATATTTTCAATCTTCCCAATTTGCCACTTGAGAAAGGAGTTTGAGCCATGAAGAAAACCTCTGTACAAAGCACCTTGCTTTTGGATCATGGCATAGTTATTTTTGAATGCAGCATGGTCACCAGCTTTCTGCTCATGGGGAAATCAGTGTCTAACTGCATCTCTAAATAATACAAACTATGATCTCAAATACATCTAATAATATTCGGAATGCACCGGAAGCACACGTTACACTGGCAGCATACAGAAACATCATTGCTGGGACAGAAGCTATATAAAACGAGACCATATTTGAACTAGAGCCTGTTACACTTACAAGTTAGTTCTTTATATACAGAATAGTGCTCGTCTTTTCAAAAAAATATTTCAATACTCAGCATTTAACAGTGTAATGAGAAAGCACATTTCCTAATGCAACAGCATTGAGCAACATGCATTTGTTACTAAGATCAGTAAATTGTGCTCGTGCAGCCATGCTTTTGGCCGATCAGCAGTTTCTCGTGGACACGATTAATGAAATGCAATCCCCAAACTCCGATCAAAGGAACGTTATCCTCAGATCTGCTAAGTTCCCCACCCTCGTGCTCATCACTCCTTCATCTATTCTGGATCATTCAAAACCGGCCACTGCTGAGGCAAGCAAATGGATAAAGAGTAGCTAACGAACGTGAAGCTGAGGGACTGACTAACGAGTCAGCCAGCACCAAAGAGTTCTAGGAGTGCAAGCACCCCGTTACTCACCGTTTGCGGTTTTGGGTCTGCCTCCAATCCCGTCTCCCAGTTGCCTTTTCTGTGCGCTCTTGAACTCCTTCAGAGACAGGTAGAGCACCTTGCGCACCACTCGCTCCTCAGACCAGGGAATCCCATCGCTGTCGTCCTGCAGGAACAGGGAAAAGGGCGCCTGGTTAACGAGGCCGTAGCTCAGACAGTCGCACACGTTAGAAGAGCAGTCGCTCCCAAAAGGAACTGACAACACTGATTCTGGAGAATTTTTTTACATCTGCTGCAGCAAAGGAAAACCCCCCCCCCATCACCAACAGTTCCTGTATCAAATCCGTCAAACTTGAAACCAAGAAACCAGGAATTTGTACTCGCTGGTACAAAGTATCGCCCTCTTGTGGCCTTGGTTTGAAACTGCAAGAACACTGATCTCCACGGCTTCCTGGTACACTGCACTCGCAGGGACACCACGGACTGGTGTCCGCACCAGTCCTTACCTGGGCTTAGGGAACCGATTTCTCACACCGTAGAACAAATGTACACCTGAATAAAAAAAATGTTTTAGAACATGCTGGAATGAGGGAAGGCAATTCTCAGCACTGTGTAGCAATTCACTGTCTCCATCACAGCACTGCACTCTTCAACATAACTGCTATTCGAATATAGAAGGACAGGCTTCATCTGAATTGATAATGTATGGTCAAATGTATTTTAACTTTTAAAATAACAGGGTAGTGAGAAATCAACCATCTGTCTAACTTCCCATATTTAAAGGTCTAAAACTTACGAATGATAAACTGAATAATGCATTCACACCAGCAGCAGTCAAATTTACCTGGGATTTTATATTACAAGCTTTGATATTACAGCACAAAATATCAGATTTGCTTGAAAATGGACTGAGGTGGAACACACCAGATCTTTTTATATGATCACCATCTTAAAGTGTCCAGGAGGTAAATGTAAACCAAATATAAACCAAGTGCAGCCCTCTCTGAACTGAAACATTCTGAAATTCTAGAGATTTTCCAGCTGATTGTGACCTTTTTTTTAAGTACAAGATGTTAATGGTGCACAACATCTGAAGGTACAAAGCAGTTCAAGTCAAGATTTTTCAGTGATGATTGGTTCAGCTGCTGTAAATCCACAACAGTTCCAAAAGCAGCTCCTTAAATCTGCCTTATTTAAAAAAGGTTACCTTTTTTTTTGCTCTCCTGAATTGATTAAGAACCTGTTACAGCGCCTCTCTCGCACAAAACCACAAGCAAACAAAGTCTAGGAAGGACTATTGCAAGTGGCAACAGAAAAAACTCTGCACTGCCAAGGGAGAGGACCAGACAAATTTGCATAGGGTACAATTCAGGGGGGAAACAGCAGTGTTTTAAAGGCCTCTGGAAAGGCTTCTTGGAGAACAATGGAGCATTCGAGAAGGCAACTGACTGTTCACGATGGACACATTGCTTGGACGTGCTCCCCTCTCCTGCAGGCTGGGCGAAATGCACCCAAGGCATTGAGCCTCTGTTACAGCCATGATGGAAACCCAGCCTTGGGAACCCAACCAAGCATTGCAGCCGGGCGAGAAAACAAAAGGAAGTTTTTAGCTCCTAGTTTGACGACGCTGACAGGTAAACAGCATGGCTGACAGGGAAGAGCGAGTTTGAAAAAAAAATGCCGGCGCACCGTTGCTTGGCAATACTGCCTGACTCACTTATTTACAGTGTGTAGAAAGCATCAAACCAAAACAGAACTTCATCACAGGCTCGAAATCTAATTTTCTGGCAATCCAGCTATAGATACTGCCTAGATTTATACAGTTTATTGAACAGTTAATCACAAGTCTCTTTCAATACATATAAATAAGTATTAAGGACCATGCAATGAAGTTCACACTGCACCGCTAGAATGACAAAAGCTAAAAGAAACATTTCAACACTTGAAGGAGTCTGTGTTCTCTCTCAAAGAACCAAAAGGCTGCCGAAAGATGCCCCGAGCCCTGATTACTGCCCTGCTTGGGAGAGATGGCGAAGAGTCCAGACTGGGGCCAGTGTGTGCAGAGCGTCTGTGATCCAGGTAAGGACTGCCAATTTAAGAGGAGCTATTCTTGTTTTATTCTTTGTGGCCTGGCGCTGAGCCAACCCCCACAGCGAAGGGGTATTATTGACTTGTGTTACACGTGCTACTGTACTGAACGCCCCCCCCTTTGAACCCTGTGAGCTGACTAGGAGTTTGCTGGAAAGTTTTCTACAGAGTTCGGCAATCAGCCAAAAAGCTGTTTCCTCAGATCCAGCCACCCCTGTTCGCCTTCCCTTCCCCTCATTTGACACCACATAAAAAAAATACCGAGCAACTTATCAGCAGCTCATTATCCTCACAGATATAGAAAGAATTTGTGGGCCACAGCACAGGGCCCACACACTGAACTCACTTCAGTTTAAACGTTTCTTCTTTAGGTGGGGAAATAAACAACAGATCTGGAACTGTCTGCCCTGTGAGGTAGCTATTCTATTATTACCTCTCAAATGAGGTTAAGTGGGCTCACAAAATCTTAAAAAAATGTTCACATTAAATGAGATTATGAAGAAGCAATCAAGGGGGTAAAACGTGAAAAGATCTTCAGAGGAACAGACTATTGTGACAGAATACTCACATTTGCTTTCTAAAGAAAATACAAATTGCTACGCAAGCTTCTTTGAATACCAAATTATGAAGCATTTTTAGGGGACGAAGCCAAGTGTTGTGAAACCAGGCTAATTAATATTCACATTCCCATAGTTCATAGTAAATGTAAAACATGCCACTTGAAACAGAGAGGATGATGTTTCAGAATAGCGAATCCACTAACAAGACCCTTCCAATCCCATTACAAAGTAGTGGCACTGCCGTCATCTTAAATTTGTATTTATTAATAAAAAACTGCAGTAGTTGTATGCCATCTGTCTTTCCAGCGGTATTGGACTTCTGAACATTGAAATTCATTAACAGTGAACGGACCTCTAATGGAGCTTGCACTGCTGCCTCATGGAAACTTCCAGAAGGATACACCAGTTCTGTGCAATCTATCCAGTGCTGTCTGAAGCTCAGATCAGCATTTACCAAACCAGATAGTCTGCTTCAATTACACACACACAGCACGTAGATTATATTGCCTTATTCGTTTACGTTTCTGGTAGATTTTTCAAACATATTGGTCCACAGCAATTAGGAATATATTTTTAAACAATGCACAATTACTAAACCCACACACAAGACCTCTTCTGTCAAGCGACATTTCTCAAATAGGCATCAGACAGCTCCTTCAGAGTACAACAAACTGATGCCAGGTCTCTTTGGAGACGAGACGTTGGTTCAGCTCTGCTCAGATCTCCGTTCTGTGCGCCCAGGACTCACGCAGCACAGCACGGGCGGACTGGCAGCACATCCCTTTCCCAGAAGGCCGTGTTAATTAGCACAGGGACCCTTTGTTGTTTGCCAGAGCAGCCTAGTGTTACGGAGAACTCAGCTGTACGCACAACTCAGATGACAATCCGGGGGGGGCTGTACAGAAAAGCTTTACACTCGAGCGTGCACATTTTGAACACCAACGTCATTGTGATAAGCCACCACCCCATCCCTGCCCTACCTTTCGCAAATCAGAAATGAACCCCGTAGTTAATGCAAACCTGCGCAGATCCAGGGTTCAATGAGAACAGTGACAAAAATCCAAGTTGAGCTGAAGCCATTAATCATTTCACTCATAAAAGCTGCCAATGGCTGAATTAATGGCAGCATTCTGTCAGCATGCGCTGCATTTAATAAGCGCATCTAGCCCTGCAAGATGAGAGAGGGAACAGCTACTTCTGCCAACAATCTTGCAGGGGCAGAAAAAATTAAATAAAATCAATATGGTACCAAGACATTTAAAGAACTGGGGCAAAAAGGGAAAAGATCTCAAGGCTACACTTCTTCAGATGGGCCAAAATTAGACAAACAAAAACAAAAAAGCCTTAGCCAGCATAATATTAAGTAACTAACAAGGATTCATGTTTTGCAGTTCAAGCTGTTTACCTGACTATTTTTTTAAAAG